AGTAGCAACAAAATCCTCTTGCCCAAGGACACCTGCTTATAGGAGTGAATCCATTCAAAGAATGCATGGTATTTGCTTTTCCCAAAGCGTTGTGCACTTGAAACTTTGCCTCTTGCAAGACCACTTGTGAATACGTGCTCACAAGCTAGGGAGAGAAACCCGTCCTTTTAGGATGGAGCACAGGGTTTACATGTGTAAAATAAGCATTGAGATGCTCCATCAACAGCGCCTCAGCCTGTGGGTTAGCAACGACAGTGTTCCTGTAGTGCTCGGCTTGCTGTTCTTGCACTTCCTGCACATTTCCTGGTCTGCGGGTGAGGGTTTATTTTGGGCTCTGGCCCATGTTAACAGAGGGGATAACTTGTTTAGATTATAGTCCGAATGTCGTCATAGAAGAGACATCATCCTTTGTGTCTTGTACTAACAGACAGAGGCTGTGCCTCCTGGAAGGGAAACGCTAACACACAGAAGGAGGATCCATGGTGTCCTTCTTTTGAGGAGAGGGTTGTAGGCTCGAGTCGTCATAGCCACTTGATGTTGCTTGGAGTTATTTGCCTAAAAAAAAAAAAATACAGTTCTTTGGCTGGAGATGGAAACGGAGTCTCAGTGTGAAGCTTATAACATTAGTGCACATCATCAATCAGTATTTTTAAAATCCATAAAAAGTTCATAGAATACTCTTACTGTCCCCCAAATACACTAGAATATGGTGATACAGACCCTGAGATTGTTCTCCAAGAGCTTACTTTTTTTAACAAACAAAAATATTAATAATACTCATGTAGTATGAAGGTTGTGACACATTCCAGTAAAAGCAAGACTGAGTCTCTGGGCTCAATCCTGCTCTCATTAATATATATTTCTGAATATTCTGGTTGTGCACAGAAATTGGGCCACATTTCTAATTCTGTCTAAACAGTGGGACAAACTTCCAAAAGCCTTCCACGAGCTGGTTTTATCTTCTGAAGGACCAGTACAAACTGAAGAGGATATTCTGTAACCAGAAAGGCTATGCATATATGTTATGGCAATGTATAAATATGTGCATGCAAATACAGCCATCAGAGAAGGGGGCAAAAAATCTGTTCAGAATCTTGTAGATGGGACAGCAGTTTGGGGATGTAGTGAGGGCAGGCAACATTTTCATTCGTTTAATTTGATACTAAATTGTAAAGCGGGGGTTGTTGTGGTTTTTGAAGGGAGTCATTGCTGTGGGATTGGCCTCATTTGGGTGTCTTGGTTATTATGAGGTCCCAGCTGCAACAAACAGTTCAAAAGAATCAATTGTTTATCGTGTAGCTCATTGGTGCCCAGTTTTTGTGCTCCATTTGGATTTGTTGAAAGCTTAATTATTACAATTACAAACAGATTCTGAGATACCTGTCAAAACCATTGAAGCTTGCAAAGCGGAAAATACATAACATTTTTCAAAGGGAAAAAAATCCTTATTTTAAAAAAGGAAATAACTTTAAAAATGTGGCTTCTGGCTTTAATGTTTGTTTCATTTGGGGTTTTTTGTTTTGTTTTAACTGAAAGATAGGCAAGCCTATGGTTCAGCTTACTTGACTCTTTAGGGGAAATCAACAGGACACCTGTAAATCAGAATAGGTGCTTCCTTGTCACTGGTTGGTTCTTTCTTTTTGCCCTGAAATTGTTTTTAAGCTTTTTTTTTTTTTTTAACTGAGTATAAGTCACTTTTCTTAAGACAGTACTAAACTACATTGTTGTTCACTTGTAAAGGCAATGTAGGATGTTGTCTCATTCTAAGCAGTCAGGCTTTGGGGGACAAACTCCCACATTTCAGCACATGGTGGCAATTACATTTGTAACTCCCAACCCTGCCAAAGTGCAAATCTAATCCTGGCACTGGAATTGTATCTTTAAAATTGTGCAAATTCCCATGACCGCCCCCCAAACCTCAATCTCTTTAGTAATTCACCAGTGATATGGGCAGAGTGCTGTCCAATCTTCTCAACGTGAAAGGTTGCATTTAGACTTGACTGACAGAATGATCTGCCATCCAATGATCATATCTTGCCAGATGGGACAAAGATATTTCTCAGATCAGAAGTAGACTGTTTAGGTGATTAGCTGGTGGCAAATTTGTGACTTCTGTTTATTTCATTTTTACTAACACCACCATCACCTTGCTTGTCTGTTTGGTTCAACTGTGTGTTCTGTCTCACACATAGATTGTAAGCCAGGGATTGGCAATCTTTGGCACATGGCCCATCAGGGAAAGCCCCTGGCGGGCCGGGCCGGTTTGTTTACCTGCAGCGTGCGCAGGTTCCGCCGATCGCAGCTCCCACTGGCCGCGGTTCACCGCTCCAGGCCAATGGGGGCTGCGGGAAGTGGTGGCTAGCACGTCCCTCGGCCCGCGCTGCTTCCCGCAGCCCCCATTGGCCTGGAGCGGTGAACCGCGGCCAGTGGGAGCCGTGATCAGCCGAACCTGCGGACGCTGCAAGTAAACAAACCGGCCTGGCCCGCCAAGGGCTTTCCCTGACGGGCCGCGTGCCAAAGGTTGCCGATCCCTGTTGCAAGCTCTCTGGGGCCATGACTGTCTTCTGTGATACTTATCCAGGGTCTAGCACAATAGGATCCTGATTGGGGTTCCTATGCAACCCTAATAATAATTCAGAGGGCTGTATGAGCCACTCTTGAAGACATCTCTAAATAGTGTGCCAATCCAAAAGCTTAAGGAAAAATCCTCTTTATGTTGGCTTAGGCTATTTGCCAAGATAGTAATCACAGTTAGTGTCATAGACGCTTTGACTATCTCAGACTTCCTCATTCTTCTGTGTTATACATCACTGTAGGTGCTGTAAAATACCATAGTGCTGAGATATCAAGGTGAACAGCCTCCAAGAAATACTTTAGATAGTAACCAGTGGTCAGTTAATACCTAATTGTGTTCACATGCATTAAACTGGTGATTCTGAAGGTGAATACGATTTGTTCAGTTCAGCATTGCAACTGTCTTATTGCTACATAATTTAACCTTCTTTGCTTGGCTTCTGTGTCTTTCACTGTGAAATCCTTTTGAGTATAATTCATGCTTTTTGAACACATGGGCAAAGTTCACCTGTTGTGTCACTGAATTGACCTCATTTGGACATCACACAAGGAATGAACATGACGCAATGGTTTTATATCTTAGCTTCTTGTTTTTGTAACTTCTGGATACCTGAGTTTGTCCTTTCTCTGACCACAAGTGAAAGTTAGTTTCAAATTCTTACTGCAGTGTCTTATAGATGTTCTTTCCACGTCACACAACTGCTCAACAATTGAACATGATTGACAGCGTCTCTTCTTAAGAGAATCACAGGACTGGTATAGTAGAAGGTGTTGCAGGTCAAAATCAAGGGGCATGGTCAGAGCTATGTGGGTGTTCCAGAGTTGCTTTATTATTTTTGGGCTTTGAGAAGATAACAGCTGAAAATCCACTGGATGGATTGTAGATTTTCTTTATTTTGACAAAGGAATGGCTTTTTACATCCAGTGCTGTGGCATTACAATTTGAGTGAATTTTTAGCATCATGTGAGAGAATTTCAGTGTGGCTAAACCCTCTGCATGTCATATTGGAAAACTTCACCCTGAGTGATAGGCTGTATCAGATCAAACAACAAAACCACTATCTTCCAGACACCATCCTTTTTGAACCAAATGAGTATTAAGATGTGTGTTTCTTTATCTAGCAGGCTCTGCAAGCGAGCACCAGATAGAAATGCACAGTACTAGAAGTAACGCTGTTAGAGGATTAATTTCCACTTTAATGTCTATTGTATTGTCAACTGGGAGGGAAATTATTTCAAGGGTGGATTTCAGATTTTTGTAAGCTCTCTTTGTGAACCATCTGGGTTTGCCAACAAAGAAACATGGAAAGAGGCATACATTCTCTACAAGAGCTGGTTGAAAACTTTTGAATTTTGGAATTTCAATTACATTTTGAAAAAAGAAGACACTTTTTAAAAAACAGCTCTATTCTCTACCATTGTTCCCCGAGTATCAGTTATTTCCCATGGGTAGTAAAATTATACCATTTTCTATACAATAGAACCTTGCTAAACTGCACAAAAAGTCTCCTGACCTCTCAGCAAAGACTCAATAAGAGACTGCATTGCAGCTTTTGCTATTAATAGGTCTTCATTCATTTAATGAAATGTTCTACTGTGCAACATTATAATTAAAGCCATACTATATTTGTGAGAATAGATGAACAAGGTATATTTTGTGATGTGTGTCTTTGCTTTTTGCATTCTGTGTTCACTTGCTAATTCACACAGGGTAAAGAGTTTCCCAGTCACTAATTCTACCACTGTCATTTTACTGATCATAAATGCACTTTTAATCCTGAGCCCACTAAAGAATATTGTTTCAGTGTGAGGGAGAGCAGCTACCTATCTCTGCTTACAAATGCCTTCCTGGCCAGGAGAGAACAAAGATGCTCCCCTTCCTTGGATAGCAGGAGACAACCTGTTGAGCTTTCTAGTTTCAGCTGACTTGTGTGTACACAGGAACTTTTCCTGCTGTGGTGACCAAGTGATGGTCTGAGGTGCTGACTTTGTTTTAACTAATAAAATCTCCCACAGAGCATTAATAAATTGAACCACTAACTGTACTTTCTCTTCTCTCACCATTCTGAATTGTATGTTAAGAACGCAACTTCCATATTTTGTTAAACTGTCCTCTTTCCATGTGCACTTAGTGGGACAGATTAATCCCTTTGGGTGCAGTATGGGAAGCAAGTTATACCCTGGAGCAGGGGATTTGCCTGTGGAAGGATATGCAGGAGTATGCTTTACATTCTAGCTGGGGATCCACAGAACCCTGATAGTGGAGGCTTCTCAGGGCTTCTTCCAGCTAGGCTGGCTCTGCGCTGGTCCTGCTTTACTAAGTTCCCTGTAGAGTGGATCTTGCCAGCAGCATGTGCTTGTGCTCCTGCTCCAGATGGATTTCCACCTGAAACGAGTTTATTTAATCTTTGTAGGAGTTCCATTTAGAACAAGATGTATCTTTCACTTCAATATAATTGAACCATCTATGGAAAGGGGGGCTTTGCCATCCTCATCTGCATGTCACTTGGAGGAATAAAGGGTAAGAGAGCTGTTTGTTCACTCCCACCTTCAGAATGTTACTACTTTTTGAAATGTGAAGCTCCACAGGTTAATGGAGACTTCCATCCTCCCTCCTGGACCAATCACTGGCTTGTATTCAAATTAACTGCTTGTCCCACTTCAACTGTTTTCTGTCTCTCGCTTTTGTATACGTGATTCTAAAGGTCCCTCTATGCCAGTGGTGCGTCAAATGATTCCAATTTTCTCTTTTCCAGGACCCGTATATCGCTTTCTGCTGCGATTCTTTGTGCTTGACTTGGAGGTCTTGAAAGAAGCTGCACGCTGCTGCATGCAGTTACAGTAAGGTTAAACACTTTTTATTGATCAGTGATGAATAGAAGTAGTTGAGATTACATGTTCTTGTGATGTTATCTCCCAGACTTTTCTGCTGATATCAAAGAACATTTCTTAAATTGGTTTCACAGATTATTATTTTGCTACAATTAATTTTTTACAATTGACTTGAAGTAGAAGTCAAACAACATAACTATCACATTGAAGAACAACAAAACAGGTACAGAGATTTCATAAAGCTATTGGAACAGAATGCAATACCAGCATTATACGTGGAGTATGGTGTGTTAATTATCTGTCTCACTGTTAAGCTCACCGAGTTCCCCATTTGACACAGTGTGAAATGCATTTCTCTCCCTGTCTCTCTTTCTTGGAGGTGGGGAATTTAGCTCTGTCCCTGTAGATTTGCCATTTCCCCTATTTTATTTACAAGACCCCACATTACAGGGGTCGTTTGAGATAATCAGCTGGACGTGAGTTCCCCGTGTGACGCTGTGGCCAAAAGAGCTAATGCAGTACTAGGGATGCATAAATAGGGGAATTTGAAGTAGAAGTAGAGAGGTTATTTTACCTCCTATTTGGCATTGGTGCAACTGCTGCTGGAATGCTGTGTCCATTTGTGCCCAAAGTTCAAGAAGGATGTTGATCAATTGGAGAGGGTTCAGAGAAGAGCCACAAGAATAATTAAAGGACTAGAAAACATGCCTTATAGTGGTAGACTCAAGGAGCTCAATCTATTTATCTTAAAGAGGAGGTTAGGGAGTGACTTTTTTACAGTGTACAAGTATCTACCTTGGAACAAATATTTCATGATGGGCTTTTCAGTCTAGCAGAGAAGGTATAAGATGATCCAATGGATGGAAGTTGACGTTAGATAAATTCAGATTGGAAATAAGGTGTAAACTTTCAATAATGAGAGTAAGGAACCATTGTAACAATTTACGTAGGGGCTTGGTGAATTCTCCGTCACTAACAAATTTTAAATCAATATTGGATGTTTTTCTAAAAGATCTGCTCTAGGAATTATTTTAGGGAAGTCCTATGGCCTGTGTTATACAGGAGGTCAGATTAGATTGTCACAGTGGTCCATTCTGGCCTAAGAATTTATGAAGCAAAGACTGGATGAGCCATATGATGGCTTTTCTATTGTACCTTTGATAGTAGGAGAGGAAGCCTCGCAGCTTGTGAAATTCCCCTATTGTGCTTGGTGGTTTCTCTGCAACAGCACAAACAGCTATGGTGTCAACTGGATCCATCTTATAAACTTCAGCAGACACCCCCCACTCCCACGTAACATACCTCTCTCTTAAAGAGGTCACATTAAGAAGCTTTCAGTTTAATTCCGTGTTTCTATAATTGTTGCAGTACTCCCCTTACATTCTCCATGTGTTCTTCAAAGGTACTGCTGTAAGCATGTAAAACATACCTCATCCCTAAGGTCCACAAAGCACTCTTCCATACGCCCTAGAAGTCAGCAAGTGCATTTGTTAAAACAAAGGGGATTCTAACCTGTTCATACAGGCCCCGTGGGGTAATGAAGGGCATGATGTGATGGCTTTGTTCAGCCATGAAACTTTGATGGTGGGCCTTCCCTTGATCCAAAATGAAGAACTGGATTTACCTCTTAATCCAGTCAGAACATGATGGATTTGAGGGATGAATTGTCTGCTATGATTTTTCCATTCAATTCCCAATAGTCAATGCGGAATCTTAGTCTTTTTCCGGACACGTACCGCTGATGATGGATAGGATGACTGATTTTGTAACACAGCCCCTGTTTAGGAGCTCTTGTAGATATTCCTTTACCTCTTTATATAGTGGATGAGGCACTGAGATGTAAGTCTTCTGTATGGGTTGCTGGTAATGTTATCTGCGGACTAGAGATCTATTCCATGTCTCTGTCATCTTTGGAAAAAGCTTTGGGCTCCTCTTTCAATATCTGCTGGGGCGTTTTCCTTCGCATCTCTGACAAATGGCTCAGGTTCGCTATTGGTTTAAACAGATCTGTCATCTCTTCTGCTTAGAGACTGGAAAGGTTTTATCTGTTGAGTATCCATCCACCTAAATTTCAGATTTAATTCACAGTAAACTTCCCAGCACAGTTCATCCTTTCAGCATTACGTCCTGTTTTGAAGGGTTACTCACAGGGATATTTATCCGGCAAGGTGATCCTTTAGGTATTTTGGCTAGTGTGTCTCATGTCCAAATCCTTAGGCCATTGAGCAGCAGCATCTGACTCAAATATTGCTATTCAACTTTCAGTATCCAGGCCTGTAAGAAGCCAACATGCTGCATTAGTGGCTGTTCCTTTGGGGATAACATACCCCTTTCCCCCCACTTTAAGCATTCACAATTTGTCAGAATTGTTTATTTCTGATGGAGTTCACAAGAGTTGCTACTTTGGCCATGCCCAAATGAGGAAATAGATGTTTTGTATTGTTAATAAAGCTAAGTGCTGGTGCCTCATCAGGTAAATTGCAGCAGTGGTGTTCGAGGAGATGGGCAATAACACTGTGGCTAGTGATAGAGTTCTCGAGCACAGGAACAGTTAAGATGTTGTCATCTTTGCTTAATTGGAACTGGACTTCAATCCATCCTTCATAAGGGATTTGAGTTCCATTGGCAGCTTTAAGATCAAGCCCATCTTCTATTTTCAGTAACTCTTCAAGCTTCCTATGGCGTGTCCTTGGGCGATTATCTTCCACCCACTGGCTCAAGAAGACCATGCACACTTGTGTCTCAGTGTCTCATAGTTTTCGCTTTATTGAGGAAACACCACACCAAACATCTCTTTCCAATTGAGTTAGTCACTCTGGTTTGCAGTTCGGGCATTAGATGGCAGACATGGGTCACTCCTGGTAAATCAGACACAGGGCTGTCAGCTTTGTCTCTGCTCTCTTGTGATTGTCCTGCCTGATGCTGAAGCTGACTTTGGGACTCTGAAGTTCCACCAAGCACTCCTGGTTTTGTTGGGGTGACCCTCGGCCAGTCCCTCAAGTGATCCTCCCTGCACGGCATCCCGGCTGGTAGTGTTCTCCGCTCTCACATCTGAAACAATGGTTATAAGTACTGCCTCTGCCAGATTGCCTGCAGCTCTCACACACGTTCTCTTTTCTGGCATTACCTGTCTGCAGGTGTCCTCGTCCAGTATCAATCACTGCTTTTATCTTGTGTCTAGACAGCTTGTCTTACTATGTTAATTTTGGCTTTCATTTATTTAATTTAATCAATACAGGCCTTTAGTTCCCTAGCTTCATCAGTGGGTTATCTTTAGAGATCTCTTTTCCCATAGATGGAGGTGCTGCTTCCCCCTCCAGCCCCTGTTGTGTAGGCACTGGTTTCACAGAAGTAAATGTTACTGCCTTAGTATGGGTTCCTCAGTTTCTGTTTTCTTTTACCTCCTCACTTTCAGCACTGTTGGTTTCTCTAATAAGGACTCATCTGCATCCTGGTTATCTTTTAAAAATAGGGTGGTATTACTATTTGCATGTTATTTTGATATCCTGTCAGGACTGAGTGGAGGAACATGCATGTGTGAGGAGAGGATCGTACCTTAGGTTAGAGTCAGCTTTCAGAGTTCTGTCTACGAAATCCTGCAGTCACTCTTTTAGCTCTTGTGCCGCTCTTGAGAGCTGCTGGTAAAGTTCAGTTGTATTTTTTCCCTCATAATAGGACCGTAGAGTCTTCGTTTTGGCAAGTTCAGATGAGTTTTCCCCTTCTGAGGTTCAGTTCTGGGAATTCTGCTCTGATTAGAGCCTCCATGATCTATCTTCTCTTCAGTGTACTACTTTTGAATCCCACTTTCAGTCTTCCAGAATTGAATGCAGAATGCCAGAATACTAAAACTTAATCTATCCTTTTAGATGGGGGTTGCCAATCTGTCCTATTTTAATTTTTTTAATTTTAAACTGGTTCTGTTTTCTGGAGTGGGGATGACCACACTTTTGCAAGGTTTGGATTTAATTTCCTTCTTGCTTTCCCGAAACTGTATTTCAAGCAACTGTCATTTTTCAGCATACTATTTCTGAATTGCCTCTAGTTTAGGAGCTTCAGATTGCTCTCTTTGCTGTAGCAATGAGTTGTAAAATCTTCTCTGAGCCCCAGTAATGTAGACCATCCCTGCTCTCCCAACTCTTCACTATAAAGTGGCTTGTTATAAGTTTGACTAAAGCCAAATGGCTTTTTGATGCAGTTTTACTGCTATCTTTCCTAGGAATATCCAGTCACAGACTTCTCTTAAATGCTCATCTTTTAGCTGGTATAAGAGTCCTCCTACCTCCATAACAATGTTCTCTAACTCTCTCCCAATGGTAGTGCTTGCAAACAGTTTTCCCCTCTGCTTCCCGGGAAAACTTTGTGGACAGTCACTTTTCTGCTTCCATTATCTTCTGGCAGATTTTCCTGGAACAGCCTGCAGCAGCTTCTAGGTAGATCCATCTCTCAGAGAGGTTAGATCACTGCAGTTCAGCCTCTCCTGCTTGTGCTTGCCAAATGTTGCAGTCCCAGGCCAGGGATGGGTTTAAGATTGAGGTTTTATTAAACAAAATATAAAAAAGCAAGCAAAGACAGCTTGCATAAGCCTCACACCAGTTTAGTTTCACCAGAACTAACAACCACCTCCTTGCTTCCCCACTATGTTTCCTTGTACCCCGTCAACAGTGCTTCAAACCCATAAAGGGACAGAGCAGAGGTAAATTAACCCTGACATTCCCCTATGACTGCTACACAACCATAGCACCTTCCAATCAGGATGTCACACCTACCTGTCTTATATCTTGATGGAGGTAACTGGTCATAGTTGCTGCTGTACATCAGCAGAATTGGCTCAATAGCTTTATTCAGGCTAACTCTTGCTAACAGTTCTGGTCAACAAAGAGTCCTGCATCCATATGTCAGGGTCATATGTCCTGCCACCCAGTTATAGTGCCCAAACTCAAGACAGTCATAAAAGCTGTAGTCATTGTTTTGCCTAAAGAAAGAGTAGAGAAATCATAAGATTTTTGCAG